TATATATATATATATATATATATATATAAATAAAAATAAAAAAAAATGTATCAAATTGCTTGAGAATGAGTATTCTCTCTCTCTCTGGCCTCCAATGAGTTTTACAAATTATAGAAATTAGATATGCTATTTGCTTATGCATTGCAAGCCAAATCAGGGAAAAGGACTTTTCCATGTTTTTCCCCCTTATTTAAAAAGAAAAATATGCTTGGAACTCTCTATTTAAAAAGCCATTACAATTGCATGGTTAAGTACTAGGTTAAAAAGTGCCAGAATTCAGTTGGAAAGCAGACCCATAATGCTGATCCCTGACTGTTCCCAATATGACAGTCTTCAGTTACATAACAAGAAACTCATTCTCAAGCAATTTGATATATTTTTTCTACTATCATAGGGCAGTTTTACACATGTTCAAGGGATTGGGGGGCGGGGGGGGTCTTTAATTAGAGCAGCTGAGAACTTCTCTAATTAAAGCGTCACAGCGTCTCATGTATCAGTGTCTCTGTTTCAAAATGGCAGTGGGCGTGCTTGAGCTAAAGCTCGTTTAACAAGCTTTAGTTCAAGCACCCCTACCACCATTTTGAAGCACGGGGATGCTGATACATGAGACACGAAGGCTGGGGGGGGAGCATGGTAATTACCATGCTCCAGCAGACTTAATTAATCAAGTCTGCTCTAAGGCATTAGCTCATCTACAGGCACCGTCAGGTGAAAGTGTTGCACTATGTAATACAAAACACCACTGAACTACTATGGGTTTGCTATCAGTTTGGGTCCAGGAATTCCATAAAAAACAGAAATCTCATATAAAAGCACACATATGCAGTCTAAGATACCATACAATGAAGTAATGTCAGTTTGTCAACAACTATATCAGCAAAGTATGGGGTTGAGTTATCTGCTGAATGGGAATCAAGTAAAGCCTTGCCAGTGTTCAAACGGAAGCTACAGAACGAGCGGTAAAAACATCATTCTACTGTCATAATATCTATTATGAATTCTTGTTTAAAGTATGCACTCAAAAATAAACTGGACATTAATAACAAAGCAATGAATTAGAATATTTAACAATTCAGATGTATGCAAGATTATGA